CATTTGTGACAAGCATTCCCAATCAGAACCTGGGAAAACTTGCCTGCCAGCATTGCCAGGAGGCAGCGCGGAAGAGGAAAAAAGAGATGAAGGACGAAATGCTCAAGCAGAGTCTTGTCCGTGATGGGATTGTCTTGAAATGGGTGTTAAATAAGATATTTTTCAACCTATTTATGGCAACTCGCAATGTTCAAAAATGATACACATGATCATGTCCCTCCAAAAAATGAGAAGATGGTCATCTACTCATTTCTTTTGTTGCGATGTGCGTGATCCGTCGGCACGGGATGGGTACGGAATACACAACTTCTGGATGTGGCAGACGACCCTATCATTGGAAATGCGCAGATTTTCAAACTTCCTGATTCCTGTTCTGTGGACAAAATCTTGCAGGAACACAAACTAGATGTGGAATAGGTATCCCTAAGACATCCCAGGTTAGGATTTGGTCTCCGTGACACGTTTGAGACTTGGATTGGTCTCCGTGTGCTGTAACTTGATCCGTTGATTCTTTCGTGTCCCGGGAACTTGATCAATGCCTTAAAAGTGGGCGTTCTGAACCGAGGAAACAACACATCAACGAACTCCAGCATAAAGCCTTGGCTCGGCCGCTGATGATGGAAGCCAAATATGGCATCATGGCCTAACGCCCCTGATCTGCTCGCAAAATGCGATGACAGACAGCAGTGGCACACCTGGGGGCTTGTGGCATGTTGGGCCTGGTTTTCTGTGAAACTCAAGATCATCCAGAAAACTTTTTCATGCAAGGCCCAAGCCTCCCAGGGCAAAAAGCGGGCTGCAGTGTTTTTCTGCAACTCGTCCCCCAAAAGAGCACTCAGGCTGACTCTGTGAGGACTGCTGGTGTAGCCCAAGATTTGTTGGAGAATTAGCCCTTTAACTTGACCCTTTTCTTCTTCAAGACGGTTGTTCGCAGTTGGAGTGCTGGAAAAATGTAATCTGTCTAGGTCCGAACACGCCAAGCGTTGACCTTGCAACAGAAAAGAACCGAAACCGTGAGATGACCGCGTTTTGGGAAGGGCAATGTAGTGATCCTGAAGAGAGAATCACCTGGCATCCCTACCCTTCAACTAACATCAACTCAGCATAACTCAGCCAAATTGGGCGATGCCGCGATGCCCCTTTGATGAATTCAGTGGAGGCAGTAATGTGGGAAGCCCTGGCTGCCATAAAGCTACAGAACCATGACTTGGGGATGGTTTACGGCAGGTTTACCACATCTCAATCCTGGGATCACCTCCAATGGCACGGATTTGTCGTTCACAGTCGTGGCATGTCGTGGCCATTTTCGTTGCGTCGATCCATGACATCATAATCCCTTCCCCTCAATATTCAGCACCTAATCGATTTTAGTATGGATAAAACATGATAAAACCACATCTTTGGCACCATTCAGAATTTCTGCAAGTGATTTTTTTCTGAACGAACTTCTGGGATCCTTCCAATATCTTGGAACGATTCCATCCCAGGGATTTCCCGCATTGGGGCCCCAGGTTTCAAGTGGGCGCACATCTGTGCAACTCCTCAGATCTCGAGCCACGTTCGATGTTTCAAGATGTTTCAAGTCTCTGAAATGGAAAAAACACATGGCTATGAATCAATACCTATACATACAATTTTTAGGGGGATGAACATCCATTTACCAGCTATTTTGATGTTCACCAGGGGTACCAGGGTTTTGACCCATCCCCACATGGGAACTTGGGAACTGATTTTCTCCGGAAGATTCTCCAGTTTCGATGTCCTGTTTTGTGAAACATCGGTCTGTCGAAGCCCTCCAGGGATCCAATGGTTGTGATGTTGCCGTCAGTGCTTCCCTACCCCCACCGCTAAACTTTGATGGTTTTTTTCCCCAAAAAATACCAGGCTTTGGGCAAGTCTGCCACGGGCCAAGCCAAGGACAAGCAGGTTCCAAGTGTGTTTGAGAAACAACTGTTCGGGCGGGTTTTAAGCTGGGATAGACAAGGGCAATTGAAGGCGTTTTTGTTTAACATGGGTTTGTTGGAACACATGTTTTCCTTATTCTGTTGCGGCTTACCTTCCCAAAGTTTTGGCAACTTGGCTGTTGCTTGTCCCCAAAATTGATGATTGAAGTTTGAAGAACTCAAGGACACGTTCTCAGACCCTGATGTGGAGAACATCTGAATACTCAAGTTGAACAGTGGAAGAAAGAACACTGCTTCATTGGCAATGACATGTTGTTCCGGGAATTATGATAGCAATCTTTCAGGATCTTTCAGGACATATCACCAGCCAATTTCTTGGGATTGATAGCACATTATCGGCTGTGACGGTTGCGTTCTCCAAGTGCATTGGTAACAAACTCTTGAGTCTCAAATCTCTACCCCTGGGTAATCAAACATGGCTTGCGATCGAACATCCCCTATAAAAATAGATCATTTTCCAAGTAACACCTCCATTTTGATCGGATATTTTCCGGCACGGATCAAATTGAATAAGATTCAACAAACGGATTGGATGGTTGGATGCGAAAAATGGACAAACTTGCATCAATGGTGGGCAGTTTCAACTATTTGTCAGTTTGATTTAAATATCAGAATATCATTCATCCTTGGATGTTTCATTTTCTGCAAATCATGACTCATGGTTCACTATCGTTAGATTATACATATATATATATATATGAGTCATATATTATCTATATATATGTCTTATGTTGTTATTACTGGATCATACTTATGATTATTATTGTTATTATTATTGGTATTAATTGTTGTTTGTGATTCTGATCATTGTCATTATCATGGCTATTGTCAGATGAACCACAGCTGGAGAGATTTTTTAGAGGGGGAGGCTGCAAGCAATGCATCCTCGCTTTTCGCTGGGACTTGATGTGTAGCAAGGTGGGGAGCCAGCAAAGCGATAGATTTAAAATGATTTAAATATACGAGTACTGTATATCATATATATATAATATATATATATATGAATAAATATATGAGATGCGGTCAAAATAAGCGTAGACTACTTCAGTAAGGGAGGGTCCAGTTGTGTTGAGAAAGTGCACCAAACCATGTAAAGCGATAGGCCCCCCCAAAAAACGATAACTTGTAACCACATGAGAGTGCATCAAACTTAGTGTAAACTAAGCAAATATTGTTATATGCCTTCACGCGATGTGCAAAATTGATGAAGACAATTCAACCTGCAATGCCCACGTTTCTTGCAGTTGCCATACCATTTGTTGTCCAAGGTGATTGAACCGTTGCTTTCTGCAGGCAGTTGTTTTTTTCTCCCAGGTCCCAAAGCAGTAGAACTAAACTCAACTACTGTAAATGCAATCAAATTCAGATTTAAATTAAAACATAGTTTTAAATCTAATTCTAAATTCCGTTCACGTGCTTTACTTTAATTTGATTTTCGTATTCCTTTGTTTCCTCTTCTTTGTCTTTCCTTCCATTTTCCTTTTATTTCCTTTTGAATTCTGAAGTAAATCAAAATGAATTTTGAATCCAAATCTGCATTTCATTTATTTTGTTTTATTTCCCTTTTGTTTTATTTGTCCTTTCTTCTTCCTTCGTTTCCTTTTCTCGTTATTTCCTTCCTTTTTCCTTTATTTTCAATTTTCCTTTTTGTTCCACGTTCCTTATTCTTTTCCTTTCTTGATCATCAAGGTGTTCTAATTTAGCGATAATCTAGCGATAACCCTTTGTTGAAAAAGGAACCCCGGACGAGGCATAGACTCACTTGATCCCAACAAGAAGAACTCAACAAAAAAACGAATAGGTTCGCAACCCTAGGCCATCAGGTTGTTTTGAGACTTGGGGAACCTTAAACACTTCTTCATAGCTACGAACGCTTCTTTATTGGAACTATGGGGTCCCATCTTCAATTTCTAGAGCTTTTGAGCGGGGAAGTGTGGCGTTTTCTGACGCCATGGCTTATCAAAGAGGGACAATTGCGAGGTGACCCTTTTTCGTTTCATAGCATTAGTGATCTTATAACCGTTGGGAACCATTGATCTTAATTAAGTTCAGAGTTGAGCTTGTAATAAATGTCCTTCCTTAGGAAAGAGTCTAGGAATGTGCTTAGATAGCTCCCCAACATGGTTGCAAACGCAAAGACAACGAGCGCCCCTTCATCCATTCCCAGCAGTTTAGAGATCTGAATCCGTGAAACCAATTCCGCTGCATTTTTGCATTATTTAGTGTTGATTTGAACAAAGCACTGTGAAGCGATAGGCACCCCCTAAAGAGCGATAACCTTAATATTTTTGTACCAAACATCAACAGTTGATTTTGACGGCGGCTCATATGTATATATATATATATGTATTTGGTTTTCTCAGATTGGAAACTGCAAAATCCCGTGGTCGATCATTTTCCGGATTAAGATTGCCATTTCGGTGTATATCCCATTTTGTATAGGTATGAGATGATAGCTCAGTTGGCCACTGTGGATGTACCCAGCCATATCACGGACGTCAGGAGTCGGTGGTCTGAAAGCAGGCAAACTTTCAGGGTGCTGTGGCGGTAGTGCAATTGAGCCGGGGTAGGCAAGACACAGTGAGACAAACTGAGGGATGCTGTTCCGATGGTTTTGTGAAGTTTTGTGATCATTTTGCAAGAAACGAATTCATGGAAGATGCTGCAAGAGTTAAATTAACTCTAGGTCCGATGTGAAACAATCAGGTTGGATTGACTGTGCCTGCAATCATGTGGAATAATATAGGCAAGTATCCATATACACACATACAATGTATATATATATATAGATATAGAGGGGAGATATGTACAGAATATTATACAACATATGAATATATGTATCATGATTCATGATATTTATATATACAATGCAAATAGATTTGTAGAATGTATATTATATACAAATATCAGGTGGATGCTCGACCATGTGCCACCAGTTGCACGGCTCAAATTTTCAAAATTTTCCAATTTTTCTTGCGCTCCCACAGCGTGTCGTGCACATAGTAGTGGACGACGTGCAACCCGCGCTGCCCGAAGATGTCGGGTATTCCTCCAATCTACCTGCGCATTGCCAGCACCGTTTGCTCCCTGGGGGTGCTGGCTGGCAACTACCAATGGCTATTGATGCTGCCACATCAAGCTTTGATTCCGATGCTCCTAAGCACCTCTGACTTCAGGTTGCAATGACTTGATCGACAGAGGACTTGTTCATTGCTGTCCAAGGTTTTAGGTGGGTCAAAGTCAGATTATTACTTGTCTGAAACAGCAGATTTGTAGAATTTACTGAACTACTGTATCCAATTGTTTGCTTTCCCTTGTTGTGAATGCTCGCATTTGTTGATTGCGTACCATTGTTGTTGGACTTTACTAGGAACTGATTTAGAAAAGTGTTGATACCAATCTACTAGCAACCATGGATTGTGGGAACTTTGTTTCTTGGCCTATTCTGGTTGGAGGTGTCATATATTCATGAACATTGAGTACATACTGAGTATGCTGCTTTCTACCTGAGACCAATTGGGGCGATGATGTAAATAAATTAATTCATATGGGTATGGATCAATACCTATTAATACCATTTTTAATGGGATGAACATCCATTTACCAGCTATTTTGATGTTCACCAGGGGTACAAGGTTTTGACACATCCCCATATGTTTGGAGAGTGAATCCACCACCAATGGACCAACATTTGTATTCCTTCCAAACGTTCGCACAGCCTCCGCGCGGTTCTAGCTTCAAAGCGACAGATATCCCACCACCAAACATGGGAAATATGATATGGACATATTTGGTTGGTGATTTAGATATTTTACCCTAGTGTTGTTCAATGTTTGATTGATTGAGATGAGTTTTGCTTTTTGGGATGGGTTAAAACCACCAACCAGATATGTTTTAATAGAAAACACCCAACTAATTCAAATGTGTCAGAATGAATATTGATTTAGAACTGTTCCCAACAAAATTTGCAGATCTGGTATGACTTACGTTTAGAAAAGATCATGGTAGGAGAAGAAGGAAATACTGTATATAAGACCCAGAACCATGTCTTGTCAGCATGGTGTTTTTCTTTTTTTTTTAAACATAATCGTCAACAAAATCCAACTCCAGTGTGTGAGTTGAGAAACTATACCTATACCGTTTTGAAAGTTCACAATTCGACATGCCCATACCCCCAATAGCTTTAGACACCTTATGCACTCACACTCCAGCGTGTTGTCAAGATCACAAAGAGCCATTCTGAGCCACCATGTTTAACCGCAGCAGGAACAGGTTCTTTGGTTAGTCCGATCAGTTCTGTGTGTAAAAATATGTTTTAACCGCTTTCTGCAGGAAGCCTCCACATGTACGACACCTTATTATTAAGATATGGCTATGTTTCAGACCCCTGGCGAATGTAGCTAGTATAAATGGAACATAAATTTCCCCCAAATGTACCCTCTGGTTATGTCAAAATAGCTATTGAAAATGGCCATTTATAGTGGATTTACCCATTGAAAATGGTGATTTTCCATAGCTATGTTAGTTTACCAGAGGGTATCCAAATTTATGGCAAATGCGTGGTTTTCAGCAAAGCCCATATCAACCCATATCCTTCTTGGGTGTTGCAGTTGCACGAATTTTTATGGGTACACTCCCAACTTCTGAATGTTACAGTCTCATATGTTCACTTAAAGATCACCCAGGCCAGATGTTGAATGATTGAATCCCATCCCCATAATATTGAAACACCTCCCATCACGTGAACATTCCATCTTCAACCATGGTGTTTATGGTGGTTTCTTTACGGTTCCCTTCCATTTTCTTCCCCAAATTTCTCGAAAAGTCCTGAATTTTTTTCCGAGGTTTTCATCCTCGAAAATCTTCGGATGGGTCAAAACCCTGGTACCGTGCCGTGAACCCCAAAAAATAGCTGGGATTTATGGATGTTCATCCCACTAAAAATGGTATCTATAGGTATTGACCCATACCCATCCATGGCCATAGGGCCTATATATGGCCTATGGCCTCCAAGGCATTGGGACCCTGATCGCCTTGAGCTTCATCCAGGACCCTGAGGTGATCCATGAGCCCCAGCGCTGTCCCGCCACAGAGACCTGGAGACAGATTGGGAACTATGATGGTTTATGAATGTTTCATGATGGTTTTTGATACTTGTAACATCTTATAACATCTTATGACATCTTATCACTTATCACTATATAGTTGATGGATGTTGCCGGGGTTTCTAAAAACCAACTTATGACTGGTAGAATTCGTTGACGCCTTTATCTTTGACGTTTTTTGGAGATGTAAGAGGAAGACGGACCAACATCCGTTGCATTTTTTGGGAATCGCAGAAAGATCGGGTGGATGCACTGTGGATTGGAGCTCGCAATGACCAAAATATACCAAACCTAAAGAGTGGTTGCTCCGGTGTTCTCATCCATGTATGGTATCGTGAAGAAACGATATTGTGATTGGTGGAAATGACACACCAAAATCGGAACACTTCCAACATCTAATTGCAGGGCCAGGTGATGAAGGGGTTGCCAGGGCGTAAAAAGGAACCTTGCCATCACCCAGCCGCCTCCCAAATTGAATGTATGATTCGCTACAGATGTTTTTCAAGCCGCGAGCACAGGTTCGCCAGGAGTTTGTTCTAGGTTCTATCCATAAAGTTTCCACTAGTTGTTTCTACATGTTTCAGAAAGGTTCGATTAATTGTCAAAGTGTGAAGTTTCTATAAACTAGACATAGAGTTTCTATAGAATTTTCTATAAACAAGACATACAGTTTCTATAGATTTTTCTAACGTTTTTTAGAAGTTTGTCTATACGTTTCTATGTCTAGTTTTGTTGCGTATCCGCAGTGAAAATCCCACCATTTCGGATGCAGAGCAATTCGGACCGTGTTGCAAAAGGTGAGCACACTTGATGTGTGTTGAAAATGGGGCGGGTATAATACACAAGAAACAGCATGTTTTTTAATGGAAAAGTGATGATTAAACATAAGTACAAAAGGTGTGTATATAAATTGTAAATACAGTATGTATATTGATTATAATCAGTGAATGGAATGGGGCTACCCAATTTTCGGACAAACCCTAATATGGATCAATTTGAAGAGCTTTGGTTCACCAAACATGGCACGATTGCATTGGCGTTGGTGGTTTGTTTCAGCTTCTGCAGTTTCCTTCGGTGCCTCCACTTCAAAAAAATTGGCGGAATGACTTCGGGTATTACGTACCTTTGTGAAAGCAAGCAAAACTCGTTTCGTTGCGATAGAGCCAGTGGTTCCCTTTTTTGTCCATTGAGAACGCGAGGATTGGAAAAATCCACCTCCGGCCGTGGGTGTGCGCGACGCGTTTCCCAAATTTGACCGGAAAGAGCCCGTCAACTCCTTCGTGCAGATTTGCGAAAGCCTCATCGAGGACTGGCGGTCGAAACAAATCCGTCGTTAAACAACTTGCATATGTGGCATTTGAATATTATATAATATATCATATATATTTATAGAATACCCGAAATGTGGCCCTGGGTTGCCAGCGACCTTTTTTCACTCCATGAACAGCTCCAAAAAACCAGATTCCACATCAAGACTGGGCATCGAAGGAGTAAAACTCCGCATTCTTGATAGGTGTATGGTCACGTTCATCGCATAAAAATCACATCCGCACATTCATCGCTGTTCCATCCCGCCAGGAATGCACGCGCGACTTGCCCAAGACTCATGAGATTCCAGAGATGGAGCAGAAGTGGAGTCCCGGCTCGGTCAGCGAAGTGGAGAGGGTAGATAAAGAGACCTTGGGATTCAACATGATTTAACCAAGATGGAGACAATACTGAGAATACATGAGATATTATGAGATATTATGAGAGATTATGAGATATTATGAGATATTATGAGATATTATGAGATATTATGAGATATTATGAGATATTATGAGATATTATGAGATATTATGAGATATTATGAGATATTATGAGATATTATGAGAATACATGAGATATTATGAGATATTATGAGATATTATGAGATATCATGAGATATTATGAGATATTATGAGATATTATGAGATATTATGAGACAATGATATGCATAAACAATATCTTGTATATGTATGCATCGTGTTTGGCAGGCACTGGGTGTGCATTATCATTAGGGTGAGTATGTAAGCTGATGAATCCATTTTGGCTCAAGTCTGAGCCAAACTGGCTTCATCGTTCTTTCTTTTCCCTCCCTTCCCTCCCTATGAGGTAGGACTCCGGTGGAGTATCCTCCCTTGTAGGGGATCACATCATTGAGGATGTTGATCTCTACGTGGAGTTCCACGACTGTAGCACTGGGCGGGAGAGATTCAACCTGTGCAGCCTCCTGAGTTTACAGGAGTGCGGAACAGGGTGTACGGATCCAACCAGTGCTGCTGTGCAGGAGACTACCTGCACAGCGTTCCAAAGCACTATCCTGCGAGGAGCAGGTTGAGACCGCACGAAGAGTTTGGGAAGAAAAGGCCATGCGGATGTGAGCCTGGATAGGGTGAACCGTTTTGAGTATCTATGCTTTACATCTCACAACTAATGATTTTATATCAAGCGAAGGGATCGATGTTGATCGATGTTCAATGATTTGCAGTGGTTTAGCAGGGTCACTGCATCAGGATTGTGGACATGCTGGAGTACAACGTCAAGGGCGGTAAGATGAATCGTGGCCTGATGGTGACCTGGAATTTCCTAGCGGCTGACAGTGGATTTGTGTTTGTAGCCCATGTTGCTACCCTTTAGCAACCTAACGTGGCTATGGAAAACCGCCATTTTGAGTACGTAAATCTTAACACACAGCCCTTTTCGCTGCATTAGATTCTCGGAGGGCTATGAGTCCAAACCAGTCCAAAGGAAATCAATGATGGTGTGTGGTAGACATTTTTGGCTTGGATGCTCTAGTGACTCCAGTAAGACTTGATTCTTGGCTTGCTATGTGCTTATCAATCGTCATTCCCTGATTCAAGGATATTCAAGGCTTCTTAGGGTCCTATTGTTGGAGTTAATTACCTCTGAGGTATCCTCAAACTTCATGCCACAAGGCATGCTATGACCACAAGGAATCCTATTGGTGGAACACATGGGCCCATATCCACTGGCTGAACATGACATCTTGACACGGTCAAAAGCTTGCGCCAACCAGGTGATTGAGAGCGGTGCAGTGATCATGAAAGCTCAAGGCCGTGAACCCACAGATGCTCGATGGATCCAAGGGTAGATTGTTTCACGTCAAAAATGTGGGAAATGCATGGGGGAAGGGGACAGAAATCCCCTCGTTTTGATGATATATCACATATCATCTACTACTGCAGATTGATGCTGAAATATCTCATCCTATGGGTTTGTCCAAAGGGGACAGCCATAGAATGACAACTTCATTAGGGGGAAGAATGTCAGGAAAAACACATGGATTTAGGGGTACCCTCTGGTAATCAACCATGGCTTGCTGGAAAATCCAACATCTGATCTTCCCATGAACAAAAACCTCCATTTACAGTGGATGTACCAAGATTTTCCCATAGTGTTCAATGAATTTCCTATGATTTGTCACATTAAAACATCTATCAGACCTCCATTTGGTTCGGGGATGCCCATTCGGTTGTTCATCAAAAGCACGCAAAATCAAGCCCAGATAACACACCTTAGGACAAAGGGACCCTAAAAGCACCCTGAGATCAACTATCTAAATCTATCTAAAAGGCGGTGTAGAAAAATCACCACAGGTGACTCTGTGATCCAAAATCCCATCCAGTCAGGGATAGCCAGGGTGCCATAACTGGTCCCAAAGGAAGATGACTTGAAAAAGTTGGCGATTCTGGGGTGGTGCATCGAATGGCTGCAGGCTGAGACAGTACCGGGCTACAAAAGGGCCACATGTTCAAACACTGTAAGTGGGGTGCGTTGGTTTGGCACATTCTAATGCAACATATCTTGGAATCCGGAGGAATCAGGAAAGGGGTGGAAGGTTTCAGTGGCTTTGAGGCTTTTCTGTGGCAAGCTGTTGATACATCTGATACATCTCGAAAAAAATTGGCTCTGCGGACATCCCTCAGTCCCGCCATGTTGGATTGCGACCATCCAAGCTCCAAACAGTTCTCAATATGATTGTTTATATTAAAATCTATAGAAAAGGGAACAAACTAGATATCATAATATATCAATATCTTCCACATGTTCTGTATGCGTACTACAACCACATACATGATACACACATGATACACACATGATACATACATGATACATACATGATACATACATGAGACATACATGAGACATACATTAGACATACATTAGACATACATTAGACATACATTAGACATACATTAGACATATACAATATACATACATTCTACATACATTCTACATATACATTAATCATACACTTCACATGTTACTACGCATTCAGGCGCAGAGAGTCCATCCATCCAGGCGTGGTTGCTGGTAGCTGATGACTTCATGGACAGCTCGGAGACCCGAAGAGGGCAAGTGTGCTGGTACAAGAAGGAGCTATTCGGATATGGGCTGTGGGGATCTGTATAACAAACAATCAACAGATATCAACAGTGGATGTTGACTGAGGTGATCCCTGAATATTTTCTGATGCTTTTTTTGATGGATATTTTTTTTTGACCATGTAACATGCCCCTTGTTAAGGGAAACTCACAAGACATGGAGAAAAACAAGAAACTCAGGACGGACCATGATTTCTTGATGGTCTACGGGGGGTTCCTGTGATTGTCTACGGTGACGGATTCTGATGTCCATTTCCTTCCGGTTCGAGAAAGGATGGGGTAAATGGATGTAAATGGTACCAAGCAGAAGACCAGGTCAATAGGTACCCTCTGGTAATTTAACATAGCTATGGAAAATCACCATTTTTAATGGGAAAATCCACTATTTCTATGGTCATTTTCAATAGCTATTTTGACATAACCAGAGGGTAAAGGTCAGCAAATTTGAATCTCCACGGGTTGTTCACCATCCTGTACCTGCCCAATTCACCATTCTGGGTGACGGTGGTATCTGTCACCAGCTACGACATCATTGGTGGCCACAAGTTATTGTGAAGTGACTGCAGCTTGGGGATGCATGGGAGTTGAGAGATGTTTTGGTGAATATGTTACGAATATGTTAAGATCGTTCTGGTTCCCATTTTTTTGGCTTAGCGCCTGGCAAACGAATTTTGCATAACCGAGACTTGCGGAACAGGTCATTTTCAATAGAAGCACCCAAGCAAGTGTGATTTTCTTAACTGAACAAATCTGTCTAGCAGCTGATCATTATATATATATACATATATATATGTGTTTGGATTTGGACTCAGTTATTTGTTCCTACCGTTGCCGGCACCGACTCATCATAATTCAGATAATTCATCGCAGCTTTTAGCGTTTTAGGAGGGAGTCGATGAGATTGCCATCAATGACGCATTTTTGATAGAGATGCTGGTCTACCGCGTCTTGAAGCGTCACTTTTGGATGGAGCCATACTACATGGACGCTTGGTCCAAGTCAGGGGCCGGTTGAGAGGTCGGAGTTAGCTTTTACTCACTTGCAGCTGGGAACCCAACTTGAGTTGCATCATGTTTTATCAAAATGAGCAAACATGAACATAATTGAACCACTTCTAGGGGACCTCCCTCAGACCCCGAGAGTTTGGAGGACTGCCATCACCCATCACCGTTTTTTTTTTTTGGTTTTTCAATGGAATCTCTTCCAAGGACTTGGTGGATCTTTTCATGGAGACCACCTTCCAAACTGAATGCGGTCAATTGCTGGACCTTCAGCAGCGAGGCTGCAGTCGAAGGCTTTTTGTTGAAGCTTTCTAGTGAAATAGCCAACAGTAGGGATATCATTAGGATACAATGGGATATCGGGATAATCATTTGGGATATTTCATGGGATATTCTGGCTGGTTGATTTTTTGAGAGCAGGAAGACATGCTGCTAGAAGCAACAAAAGTGGAAGGGAAATACACAAGGGGCGTTGGGATGACCTGTTTAGCAAGTTGCTCAACGAAAGTTTTGAGCTCACTTGGTGTCCGGTATGTAAACATGGGTACTGAATGGCACATATATTATGTAAAATGTATATACTTGAATATGATATGATATGTATATCCGCTCCATTCTTATAATGGTGGTGCACAATTGGTGCCACGGGTTTTTTCGATTGCTGGTTTCATGTCTTTATTTCTTTCCAATAAGCTGGGATGGTGTGTGGTTTTCAAGGTCCAAAGAATTCTCGACTTTCCGGCGATGGGAAGACCCATCCGCCAAGGTGCAAAAATGTCACGTTACAGGACTTCACATACAGCAGATGGGAGCTCATCGTGAAGTACAAGACTGCCTTCTACTCTTTCTACCTGCCCGTTGCTTTGGGCATGCAGGCCTGGGTTGTGTCGTGCCAATTTGACAAACATGTTTTCCTTCCCATTGGTAGTTTGAGAAAGATGTAGCAATGCACATTCATAGATGGAAACTTTCAACACTACTCAGCGTGATAGTTGTCAGTATGACACTTGTCAATATCAGTATGAACATCAAAGAGCGCTGAATACGCGAACACCGTTTCATTTCCGTCAAGTTTCTCACCGTCTCACACTTCTCTTGCTGGCTAGCTGGGCTTTCAAATAAGTAGATCCTACAAAATTTGTCATACCTGGTTCTTGCTTGATTTGATGATCATTGTCTATTTAAGCAGCTTGAAATCAAAATAGGGGACCCATCTGTGGTCGGCTTTTCTACTGCCTACATTTCTATGTTTCTGACCCATTTCTGAACAAACACTGCCATGGTAAATCAACAAATAAATTGTTTGTAATCCTTTCTCATTCTCCTAAGATTGAATACTTCCTAGATACCCTTTGGTAATGGAACATAGCCATGAGAAATCACACTGTTCAATAGGGAAAACATATGATAAATGGGCCATTTTCCATAGCAAACCGTGACATTACCACAGAGTACCCAGTTTAATTCGTTTACACCTTGCCCCTGAGTATTAGACCTTGTGGGCCCCACCGCCCCCCCGTGGATGCCCAACCATTCTTGGCCACTGGGAATCCCTAAGGTTCACTGGGTCATTTCATGATATTCCATCGTTCATTGATTTTCAGCACCCAGCGAACAACTTCACAGTTGGATCCCCAGTTTTCATGGATTTCCTACCAGCCCAACTTCCATCCCAGGTGGCAGGGATCCGGGAGCAGGACGCCTATGATGCGGTCCGGGAACCCTTGCTGTTGATGGGCGTCTACTTTCAGGCCCAGGACGACTACCTGGACGCCTTTGCGCCGCCCGAAACCTTGGGGAAGATCGGCACGGACATCCAGGAAAAACACATGCCTGGCGGATGGGCGACCAAACTTGGGGATGGTGTTTGGTGTATGACCATTGGGTTTATGAATGTTTATGACACAGTGCATGGGATCAAGAACCCAAAAATAGAAGTGGCTGGTGACTTTTAGATACTGTACCTTTGAAAATTTGTTAACTAATGTTAAATATTTCAAGCATCCACTCTCTGAGTATACGGTAGGTATATCATTTAATTTTTGCGTTTGACATCATTTGGCTTTGCCTCGGGGAAGGACCTCGAATTTCTCGGATGTCTGGCAAGGTGTACGCCAGGTACCGAATGAATATCTGGAGATGTTCGTTCAAATTAGAGAGGGTAATCGTTGGTTCTGAGCCCCAACAAAATGAATGTATAATGAATGTTTATTCTCCCTTATGTCTGATTCATGTGTTGATTTGAAGAACACCTGCCGTTAATCTTGTGCCAGGGGCTATATCATCGTGTGAATTTAGTTTATGGAACGTGCATGTAAATTGATGAAATGGGATGAAACAATTCACGTGGGATGTCTTCGAGGTTTGCTGATTGCAGCAGTTTCTAGGTTGACTTGGGACTTTTTGCCACAGGACAAAAAGTGCGGATGGCTCTTTGTGCAGGCCTACCATCAGCTTTGCTCTCCAGAGCAGAAGGCATACCTGGACGAGCACTATGGAAAGTGTAAAGTTCAGACCCCTGAAGAGCAAAAGATCAAAGATATCTACAAGGAGGTTGGCTTGGAACGGAAGTACACAGACTACGAGACCAAGTCCTTCCAGGATATCCTTGCCTTCAAGAATCAAGTGCAAGAAGCTAATGTGCCGTGGGAAATTATTGAGATATTCTTGAAAAAGGTGTACAAACGCACCAAATAAGACCGCTCTTCTGCGGTTTCCCCGCATTGGGCCCTGCCCAGTGCAGTTCTTTTGCGTGTAGGTGAAGCCTGCAAAGACAGCCTGTGGAACCAGTTGCCGACCATCCATTCATCACGTCTAAGAAATGCTGCTGTTTCCGGTAAAGTAGGTACTTTAAGGTGGATCTTTTTCGCACTATGTCACTATGATAGGATGATATAGTAATATAGTGATGTTGCTTATCTTCAATTTTTGCCTGAGAGGTGGGGATGATCTCTAAGTTATTCTTATTCAATCTTATTCATATCTTTCAATCATGTAGGGTTGTTTGATAGTGGAGATACACATGGATACGCCATTTTTAGACACACAAAAAAATTGAAGCCAACAACTCCATCGCCAGACACCGCGACCACCACATTGACGGCTACCAGTGCTGAGAGTGATGAGGGTCCGGGGCACTGCTCGGGCATGTCACTGGTGTGGATGACTTTGATTGGTCCAGCTCGATTTTGTGTCCGAAAATAGGCTCAAAAAAAAAGAGTATTTTTTTCGCCACCTGCCAGGTGAGGGCCTCTAGATTTTCACAAAGGTGCAACTCCTTCCTCCTCCTCCTCGTCCTCCTCCTCCTCCTCTGGCAGCTCCGGATGCAGTGGGTGACGCCTGGACCCGAACTCCAGAACGCCAGTGCCGAACACATGCCAAAGAGAATGCCAGAAACAATGTCAGAAAGAATATCAGATAGAATGCCAGATAGATGTCAGAAAATATGACAGATGCCAGATAGAATGCCAGAATAGATGCCAGATAGAATGCCAGCAAGAAGGTCAGATAGAATATCAGAGTATATATATGCCAGACAGAATGGCAGAACCTGTATGCCATATATAGATATATATAGTATGTCAGAAACTTGGTCAAAAGAATTTGCCAGGGTGGGGATTACTCTAAGTAAAGTGTTCTTTTCAATGGGGGATCCCCCAAAAATCAATAAAAATCATGGCTTTCAATACTCAAATGGTCCAATGACTTGAAAATCATCAGGGGCTCCATTTTAGGACGCCTCCACGTGGGCCGAAAAACTCGCTCTGCCATCATTTTCCCTATCCAATTGCCATAGCCAGCCCCTTGAGAAGATGGGAACCGGAGTTCTCCAAACATCCACCGAACGATCACCTGGACATCAAAAATGGTGGGTCAAAATGGAAGACCAACATGGGACCACAGATGTGAATGTCTAGTTACTCTAGTTTAGTATTAACCATCCAATTATTGGGGTACCTAATTTTGACCCATACCCAAATGATGATGGATTCTGAAATTTGTGAAAGCATAGTGTTCCTGTTCAGGGTGTATGAAAGCAAAGATGTGACGAAAGCAAATTTCCGACTTATCCAAACCCTGACTGTCGCACATGCCAATGCAACACCTGGATGTTCGATTGGTCATGTGGCTTCAAGCTTGGCGATATGATGCTCCAAATTTGGGATGGATCAAAACCTATTGTATCATATTTGGGGCCGATGAACATCCATTTGTACACCTGCTATTGTGAGGTTCATGAGTGTTTTGACCCATACTGTGTGTGTGTGTGAATCATCCAGTTGATGGGTGGTTTGAAACCTGAGGAAGCACTCAAAATCTGCTGCTCAGGCGATGATAGCAGTTCTGTGAACGAAGGCGCTGGTTGTTTCGTAAGTACTTGTGCTGTACGGGACAGCAGTGAAGCACCGAGACAATCTCAACTTCACTCACAACTGACCCAAAACACATAGTTGCTTCAGTTCATTATAGATACTGTGCATGATCGGAGGGGGGTCCATTTTGTGATGTTCTCTTTTCAGATATGATTAGATTATATATGAAAATATGATTTCATATCATATCACGTCCTATTATTCTCTACTATATGTTCATAAATGGTTTACATTATTTTAGTCTATTATACAACATTATACTGTATAGTATTATGATGTACTGTATGATATCACATTCCATTATGAAAGTATAGGATAGTATGTAATATAGCATAGTATAGTATATCAGATTAGATTACATTGATGTTTAATCACAATATGTTTTAATATTATAACTATGTTATCACATTTTTTCTACCTATATCATACTTTACTTTTTTTTAAGTTAATGTAATTGCGTTGCAGTATATGTCATATCAAAAAGGATGATGTTATATTACATTATCATATAT